CTATGATTCTATGATTCTATGAATTCAGCACCATTTTATACACTTGCGCATAAACAAATCTTCCAAACAGCAGGAATTAATAAATAAGAAGTCTTAATCAGGAGTAGGCAGACTTTCCACTGTTGAAGACTAAAGTACAACTTTACCTAGGGACAAAAAAAGAACCCAAACATTTAGGATGGTAACCATAGAGCTGAATGAATATGATGCCTTTCAACACATGATGTACTTACTCAGTCCAAGTCCCAGGAATTTCTTTTTAGTGTCAGGAGAGGAAATGACACACAAATCCTTTCACATAAAAATCTACTACCCCTCCCAAGCTTTCTTGATTTAGTAGTCCAATTTAAAAAGGGAGAAGCCTTTTATATTCAATATTGTTAAATCCTTGGGAGTCAGAAGTCCTTGGTGATCAATTGTCAGTCACCCAGAGATCAACTGCTCAAAGCTGATTTGCCTCCTGCCCATCCTTTGTTTAAAGCATTCAGGTTCTGAGCACATACCAGCACTGGTTTGGCCCAATTCAGCTATACAGGCACACAACTAGAACATCTGCACAAAACTTGACTTACTATTTCTGATTCAGTTCCACACATAAGAACCTCAGGGTACTTTCAAAGAGATACCATCCACAGCGAAAATATTAATTATGAAGGTATTATTTTCAAATTCTGTCAGTATCACTAAACACTGCAGCAGCTTCACAATAGTGGGGTTGACTCCAGTGGTTTTCACCTTTTCCCAAGTTCTAAACCAGGGGTCCCCAAACTACGGCTCACGGGCTATACCCAGCCCGCTGAGGCCTTCTTACCGGCCCACCACTGTTCGTGACGCTGCCATTCGTGCCCGCCGCTGGATGCCATTTTGGAAGCCAAAATGGCATCTGGAGTCATGCGCATGTGCGCAGCATCGCGCGCATATGCGCATGACTCCGGGCACCATTTTGGAAGCCAAAATGGCATGCGGCATCACACGCACATGCACACTACTTGACCAAAGCCCAAATGGCGCCTGGAGTCACACGCATGCGCGCGCACCTCCAACCCCTGGGAAAATCTGGGGGCCAGTGAATCGGCCCCCAGATCAAAAAAGTCCAGGGACCCCTGCTCTAAACATTCTGATCCTGTTCTTCCTGTGCCTTGGACGGAAGGGGAGATGTTGCCAATACCCATCACCAAGCTAGCTTTATCAACTGCATTTTTATCTAATATATACTTGTCCCAGCACATTTTAGATCTCCAATGAGTGCCCTAGATAGGTCATTACTTTCGTGTTTGGGTATACAGGCCTTCACTGGCAAGTCCAGGAAAGAAGAAGGGTCTTATCTAAATAAGGAACTATTATTTCATTATCATTTTATTCACTTATATTCCACTTTTCCCCCAACATTGGGATTTAAGGCAAGTTACAGAATATTAAAACCAGGCCAGATTAAACCCAAACAAAAGCATCAATAAAATATATAAATGTTATTTCAGAAAGCAATTAATCTAAAAAATTAAAATAATTTGAACACTTGCTAAAAGACAGAATATAAAAATAACAAAACAACATACCATTAAAAGCCTAAAAGCCTGTTGGAATCTGAAAGTTTTCACTTTTCAGTAAAAGGAGAGCAAGGAAGGAAGTTACAAAGTCTGGGAGTAGCCACCAAGAAAGCCCTCTCTCTTGTACCCATCCATCAAACATGCATGGGAAGGCAGTGGGACTGAGATAAAAGCCTTCCCCAAATATCTCAGAGCTTAAGCAAATTTAACATGAGATACAGTCCTTCAGATATTCTGGACCCAAGTATTGTAGGGCTTTATAGATCATACCCACCACTTTGAATTGCACCTAGATATGGACCAGCAGCCAGTTGAGCTGTTGCAACAAGGAAGTAGTAAGCTCGCTAGTAAACAGTGTGGTATGATCGCTATAACAAATAGCTCTTTTTGCCTATTAAAGTTTCTGAGCACCTTTTTTTTTTACTTAAAATAAACTTTATTAACAAATGAGTTTACAAAAAGGTCAGACAAAACATAATAAACAAAATGAAGTTAACTACAAAATAGTAAAAACACATACATATATACATGAAACCATTATCCCTTCCCCCCACTCCTTCCCCCCTTTCCCACTGACTTCCTGCAATGTCTGTGATCTCTTAACTATAACACTCACTTATGCCTCTATAGCTAAACCATCTTTTACAAGCTAACTTTTTTACATCTTTCTAATTTACGGCTGAAACAGATGGCTCAAAAAGAGTGGATTGGGGCTGCCCCAGAGCTGGTTACCCCAGGGCTGTGGCAACCACACACCACAGCCCCAACCCACCCTGACACCAGCTCAAATAGGAGTGGAAAAGATCTACTCCTATTTGGGCCTGTAAAGGGCTGCTTTTGGCAGCCCTGCCACAGCTCCAGGGTGGCTTCTGGTGGCATGCAGTGTGTAAACGCCACACCCCCAGAGCATCTTGAAGCTGCCCCCATGTAATTGGCCAGAATGACTTCCAGACGTCTTGGGACCATGAGGTGTGTTAACACCATGCTCCCAGGTGGCTTTACCGAGCCATCTGTTTCAGTCCTGAATTAACAATAACAATATATAATCAACATTCTTTTATTCAGAAAAACTTTCCTATCTAGTCATCAGAGCCTACAATCACACTATCTCCAGTTCTTTTTTTCATATAATTCACAAAAGGTTGCTGTGTTTTCAAATAAGTCTGTATTGGATGTACCTTCAACAGATTGGTCAACTTGTCTGATGTAGCCAGGTCCCATAATTTTTCTAGCCACTCCTCAATACTCTGAGTGTGCTTCTGTCTCCAATATTTAGCATACAATATTCTTGCTGCTGTCATCATATAACAAATTCATATCCTATGTTCATTCTGTAATTTTGTCCACCATATTTAAAAGAAATAGTTCCAGTCTAATTTCTACTTCTGACTGTAAAATCTTATTCAGCTGCTTCTCTACCTTTTGCCATTATTATTTTTTGCCTTTTTACAATTCCACCACTGGTGATAAAAAGAACCAATAGACTTTTTACACTTTGAACATTTAATATTTATATTTTTATATATTTTTGCTAATTTGTCCGGTGCTGACAACCTTTCAAAATCAGCCCCCCCACACACACACACACTAGACTGCATTACAATAATCCAAACAGGATGTAAGCAACAAGTGTGTGGACCATTGTTTTAACTGTACTGTCTTTTTAGACCAGGGGCTGGCAACCTACGGCCCGTGGGC